TACCGCCACCTCCTTATGGATGTTATCTTCCACGAGGAAATTGAAAACCTTCTCCAAGAACCCAACGGAATTTGCTGGAACCAAGCTGGTGGTAAACGACGCCGGTTTAGTAGCTGTTGCCGCTGTCGAAGATGCCGATGGCATTTGCTCCTCCTCTTCCATGCAGCGAAAGAACAAATAAAGTCAGGACCGTTTGGCGATTGATATCATGTTAGGAAACAAGGTTGAGCTTTAAGATTCAACAAACATTGAATTCTTTCTTATTGATTCCAGTAACCAGATACATTGCTTTTATAGTAGGTAACAGAAGCTTAGCACAAGTCTAGAAGCTTTGTAACTACCTTAACTGACTGCTAACAACTCTAACTTTCTTAACTAACTTTAGCTACTTAGTTAATCTAATATTCCCTCTACTTTCTCCTCCTCCTTGTAGCACGCACATCATAACCCTAAATAATTGAAAAGATGAACAATTAAATCGAAAGTGCAGATGCGTTCTTCCGTTCACTTGAATCAAAAGTGTCGATGCTTCCTTTCGTTCTTTTTGAATCGAAAGTGCCGATGCTTCCCTCCGTTCACTTTGAATCGAAAGTGATGATGCTTCCTTTCGTTCTTCTTATTCACCTTCATTTCTTTCTTCTTCACCCTCTTTTACAAGGATCCTAGACATATTTTTTTATGGACTCTTGACTGTGAAGCTTTTAAGTCCCATGACACTTTGAGATAAAAGCAACAAAATGAATACAAAATTAAACTTTTGTTACTCACAAAAAAGAATTATACAACTATTCAGAAATAGCGGTAATAGCCTTGTCAGTGGCACCAGTATAGAGATTGGATCCTGTTCAACATCTTCCCTCGCAACTTCGTACCAAGTGCCCTCTCGAGTTTACCAATTATCTGCTGGTTAGGAATAGCTTTTCCAGATTCATACTCTTGTATGGTTTGAGGCTTCTCATTGATCATCTGGGCAAGTTGAGCCTGGGTGAGTTTCTTATCCATTCGGGCCTGCATGATGGCTTTCTTCAGTTCTGTTGGCACTCGTTCATGAGCAAAATTTTCAGTTTCTTCATCAAGCTTCCTTGTATTCAAAGTAGTACCACTAGATGCTGCCTTGTTCATCCCAGCATTCGATTTCTTGACGGATTCGATCTCGGCGCCAGCTCGACGGGTGACGTTGACGACTTTCTCATCCTTCTTGGATGCGGCTCCTGGGGCTTTTTTTCGAATCACGACAGGCTCCCAGTCTTGAGTCAAAGGTCCGATTCCGGCCATTTTAGCAATCTCTTGAATTTCTTTGATCGAATTAAAGGGGAGGGAAAGTAAGGAATCAAAAAGAGAAATTTTCTTCTTGACAACTCGCACGACCACCGCCACCTCCTTATGGATGTTCTCTTCCACGAGGAAATCGAAAACCTTCTCCAAGAACCCAACGAAATTTTCTGGATCCAAGCTGGTAGTAAACGACGCCGGTTTAACAGCTGTTGCCGCTGTCGAAGATGCTGATGGCATTTGCTCCTTCTCTTCCATGTAGCGAAAGAACAAATAAAGTCTGGACCGTTTGGCGATTGATACCATGTTAGGAAACTAGGTTGAGCTTTAAGATTCAACAAACATTGAATTCTTTCTTATTTATTCCAGTAACCAGATACATTGCTTTTATAGTAGGTAACAGAAGCTTAGCACAAGTCTAGAAGCTTTGTAACTACCTTAACTGAATGCTAACAACTCTAACTCTCTTAACTAACTTTAGCTACTTAGTTAATCTAATAGCATACATGCATAACACACACGAGTATACTGCATGACATACAGGCATATCTCAACATCATACAACAAGGATATCGCCGCAGCAAAGGCGGGGAGAGCTGGTGCCCCAGGAGCTCTTGGACAGGGTCTTAACCGCGTACGCCTATTGGTCCCAGCAGCAAGCCAAGCAACAACTGAAGGTGCAGCAGCCGGAGAGCTGTCTTCTCCTTTATAACTCTTAACAATGAGATCTAGTAGCAGATGTGATGGTGACGAAAAAATCTTGGGTTGATCATTGATGGTTGGGTTTTGGGGAAAGATTGTGTACTGGTTATTGTTTTTCACGTTCTTGTAATTTGTTGTGATTATTTTAAAAGGAAGAAATATGAAATATTTTAGCTGCTCTACTACTGATTATTCTCCTACAAGGCATGACCTTTCTATAAAATCCTTTTCATTTAGATTTAATTATATCTAAAAGGGATTTGTGTGGATCAAGCCAAATGTCTTATTAATGACTCTCTAGAAACTCCCAAGCCTCTTGTTTTCCTTACTTATACCGATTTTGTACGACAAATATTTAATTAAAAAAGGGTAAAGTATAGTAATAGTCATTAAACTTTTCTAAAGCTTTCATTAGGTCCCTTAACTTTTAAAACTTACAATAAAATCCCCCAACATTTAGTCTGTTTGCAATATGGTCCCTCAACAGTTACGTTGAGGACCATATTGCAAACAGATTAAATGTTAGGGGACCATATTGCAAACATACTAAATGTTGGGGGATTGTATTGCATTTTTTAAAAGTTAGGGTCCAAAATGAAAGCTTTAGAAAAGTTCAGTGACCATTACTATACTTTACCCTTAATTTATTTAAAATTTTATTTGTAATTTTACATTTCTTCAATTTTGTCCTTAAATTTATATTTTTTTACAAAATTGATCAATGATTTTTTTTTGTAATTTACTCGAAATCATATACAATTACAACTTGAAATTCAACAATCACGAAAGATGACAAAATAATTAATCCAAAATTAAAAACGACCCAACCTGAACTCAATCCGTATCTGGTAAACATTCGACCTGAATTTTATCTATCAATGATGTGACCCGATCTGAACGAGATCTGATTGAAGTCCACCTGAACCTGAATTAACCTGATCTTTATCTGCTTCGGACCTGAACTGTTTTGACCTGAACTAACATCGATCAGAACTGAAAATGACACGACTTGAACCCAATATGGATCTGGTGTTAATCAACCTGAAAATAACCCGAATTGATTTGACTTGTACCCGACCTGATCCGAGTCAAACCATCAAATTAACCTGACTTGACCTATACCCGATTTTACCCGGCCTGCCAGGATCCGACTGAAACCTGACCGATTACCTGATTTTACATCCTTAACTGACACCTTCTTGAGTAGACACTCCACCACGCCGGGCTATTGAGGTCGCCCTCTAAGAACGAGGGTAAAGATGTTGTTTGGGTAAAATTATTGAATTCTTACTTAATAAAGTTAATCACCAAGAAATTTTTAATCATTCGAATTATAATAGAATTGAATTTAATTATTAATTAAAATTTAAATAATCTAACAATAAATTATATAATACTCTAATTATATTTATAACATAAAATATAAGATTAATTAATACTTGAATATGATATATTATAAAATAAAATATAAAATAAATAATATTTGAATTAAATTATCACTAAAGTTAATTAATTGGGTAAAGTATAGTAATGGTCACTAAACTTTTTTGAAGCTTTCATTTAGGTCTCCCAACTTTTAAAACTTGCAATACAGTCCCTCAATATTTAGTCCATTTGCAATATGATTCATAACGTAATTGATGGGGCCATTTGCAAAAGAACTAAATGTTAGGAGACTGTATTGCAAGTTTTAAAAGTTGAAGGACCTAAATGAAAGCTTTAGAAAAGTTCAGTGACCATTACTATACTTTACCCTTAAAAAATTGTTTTTAGAAAATGATTTTATTTTGATAAAACATATAAGTAGTATGCCTAATATAATATTTTAAATAAGAGAACTAAAAGACACGTCTAGAGAGTAATATATACACACGTAAACATAATACATGGGCTAAAGGAAAGCTGAACACGTGTGGTTATGACCTCATGGCAGGTAAGTTGCAGCCTGTTGTCCATTCAGTCAAATGAGATAAATATCACGTGCGCAGTTTTAATATACACTTAAAAAATATTACTGATTTTATTATTATTATTTAATATTTTTTAAAAAATTATTAAAAATATTATTATTTCTATTGATTTTGTTATTTTTAGATATTTTATCAGTTTTATTAATATATTCAGTAAAACATTATTTAAAATATTATTTTTATCGATTTTATTATTATTGAACACTTTACTGAAAATATTAAAAAAAATTAATATTTTAGGAAAAAATAATAATATTATTAATAATTTTTTATAAAAAATATTTTAAAAAATAATAACAAAACTAGTAATATATTTTTTTAATAAAATATTAAGAGTAACGTACGGAACAACTTCCTAATCAAATAAGATACGCATTAAAAAATAATTCGTATAGCTAAACCGCCACACATTCTTCAGTCAACTTGTGCAAATAAATCCAAAGGCCTTTTTCATCGCAATGAATACTGAAATTTTGTTGCAATAATTTGATATTATCTATTTAATATCTTATAAAGCAAATTGTTGCAGCAATTGCTTGGGTTTAGGGATATAAACGAGATGAATAATGTTCAGTTTAAAAAATGTATTTATACGTTTAAAATTATTAAATTTTACTTGAGTTTTAAATAAAAAATTACAGCTTGAATTAAGTTCGAAAAAATTGAACTTAAAATATTTTCATATTTAACTTGATTTCAACTTAAATTCTAAAAATTCTCATATTTAATTCGATCAAACCTAAATTTAAATTTAAAATACATAAAATTCTTTTACTACCATTATTTTTAAAAGCAACATACAAATAGAATTCATTTAAGATATTTATTAACTATATTTTAATTAAATTAAACTCAAATAATTTAGAATATATGGCAATCCTGCATGAATTATCTGAAAATGGTACACATTACATGAACCCAGAAAAGATAAGATGGATACAGTTGAGATAATATGTTGACTAACCAATAGCCGCATAATAACAGGGTCCTTCAATCTCTTCCAGGAAAGTTCCTCTCTTTTTTTTTGGTTGCTTTGGCCTCACGGGTCAAAACTCTCTTCTTCTATTTATTATTCAACACCGCCTCTTTATCTTTCTCCCCACGTCTTCGCCTCCCTCTTCTTCCTTTAGGGTTGAGAGTCTGTCTCCATCTTCAAGGTACGTTAACTGTTTTTTCTCCTTGCTTCTTATCCACTTTGTTGAACTGGTTCTTTCTCTTCATGCACATGCTTCCCTTTTATTTGATTCATTGGTTTCTCTGTATGACTTGTAAATGGTCATTTTTGTTTAATTCTCTGCAAGTTTTAATCTTCAAAGGGTCTTGTTTAGATATACCCGTAAAGCTTTCTCCTTTGATTTTATCGAACTCCAAGCCTTTTTCGGCTCTGTAGTATGTTTTCTTAGTTGAATCCATTGGTTTTTAAAGCGTTTGACTTTCTAAAATTTCCTTTTGGGTTGTAGAATTTGGGATTTTTAGATGACCATGGATCCGAATTCCACTGAAACCTTTGATTACATCAACGGTTTCAAAGCTGAAGACTATGCATTCCACAATGGATTTCAATTCGATATCCCATCTCCAGATCTTAACTTTATGAACATGTATGTTCATCCTATTATACCTCCTGAACCCGACCCTAGTATCTTTGTTCCATCCGTTACAAGTTCAGATGGTAGCTCTTTTTCAGCTTCCTCGGGCTGGAGTCCGGTTGGGGAGTCTGATTCACCTCCTACTGACAGCGACTCAACCGATCCAGTCCTCAAATACATTAGCCAGATGCTTATGGAAGAAAACATGGAAGACAAGCCTCATATGTTCAATGATTATTTGGCTCTGGAAGACACCGAAAAATCCTTATATGAAGTCATCGGTGAGCAATATCATTCGAATACTCAAATGGAGAGTCCTAACAGTAATCTTTCTGGTAGTAATGGCCATTCGAATACTAGTGTTGGCACTGGTAGTGAGTCTAGTTATTATGTCGATCATCACGGTGTTGGTGAAATTGGAGGGCCTTCTCTTTCCTTGTCACAAGCTCCTTACTCTTTGCAGCCCACTTTGGAACAGTCTGGTTCACATTTTTCTGTGAGCTCTGCTAATAGCTTGAGTAACATTGGTCATGGGATGATGGAATCTTCGGTTAGTGAGCTTCTCGTTAAGAACATGTTTAATGATAAGGAATCTATTTTGCAGTTCCAGAGAGGGTTTGAGGAAGCCAGTAAGTTAATCCCTACTAATGAGCAACTAGTTATTGACCTAGAGAGCAACGCATTTCCCATTCGGAAAAGGGGGGATGTAAGGAAAGTTGTAGTCAAGGTGGAGAAGGATGAGAGGGAGAGTTCTTCTGATGGGTTGGCGGGTAGGAAGAATCATGATCGGGACGATTGGGAATTGGAAGATGAGAGGAGCACCAAGCAATCTGCAACTTGTATAGAAGAGAGTGATCTGTCTGAAGTATTTGATAGGGTGTTACTTTGTACTGAAGGAAACACTATGTGTGGCACCAATGGAACTGTGAAGCATGGAGAAACCAATACGTTGCAGCAGAAAGATCTGTCAAATGGATCTAGTGTTGGAAAAACTCGGTCTAAGAAAACGGGGAACAAGAAAGAAATGGTGGATTTGAGGACTCTTCTGATTCTCTGTGCACAGGCTGTTTCTGCTGATGATCGTAGGACAGCGGGTGAACTGCTAAAGCAGATTAAAGAGCACTCTTCCCCTCATGGTGATGGAAATCAGAGGTTGGCCTATTTCTTTGCAGATGGCCTCGAAGCACGGTTGGATGGGAGTGGAGCTCTAGTTCACAATTGTGTTGCTTCTCTAGCTTCCAAGAAGACAACAGCTGCTGATATCTTGAAAGCTTATAAAGCTTACCTTTGCGCTTGTCCGTTTACGAAGCTAGCAATCGTCTTTTCAAACAAAACGATTTACCGTGTGTCTCAGAAAGCAAGTGTCCTTCATATTGTAGATTTTGGTATTCTGTATGGTTTCCAATGGCCCATTCTTATCCAGCATCTCTCAAATAGACCTGGAGGGCCTCCTAAGCTACGCGTTACCGGAATCGAGATTCCCCAACGTGGTTTCCGCCCAGCAGAAAGAATTGAAGAGACAGGTCGTCGCTTGGCAAAGTATTGTGAGCGTTTTGGCGTTCCATTTGAGTACAACCCGATAGCAGTTGAACACTGGGAAACCATCCGGATTGAGGACATGAAGATCAATCGCAATGAGTTTCTTGCCGTGAATTCTCTTTTCCGGTTTCAGAATCTACTTGATGAGACCGCCGAGGTGGACTGTCCGAGGAATGCCGTGTTGAAATTGATCAGGAAAATAAACCCAGATATTTTTGTTCACAATATAGTGAATGGAGCTTACAATGCTCCCTTCTTTGTTACAAGGTTCAGGGAGGCTCTATTCCATATCTCTGCAATATTTGACGTATTCGAGAACACATTACCTCGTGTGGATCCAGCTAGGTTGATGTTCGAGAGGGAGTTTTATGGGCGGGAAGCAATGAATGTTATAGCATGTGAGGGGTCGGCAAGGGTTCAGAGGCCAGAAACATACAAGCAATGGCAGATTCGTACGATCAGAGCAGGATTCAAGCCGCTTCCGTTGGAGCGAGAACTGATGAAGTTAGTCGGGCATAAGTTGGAGGCTTGCTACCACAAAGATTTCGTAATCGATGAAGACAACAACTGGATGCTGCAGGGATGGAAGGGCAGGATTCTTTACGGTTCGTCGTGTTGGGTACCTGCATAGGAGGCTGGACCGGAATATCGGCTACAATCAAGATCGTGACGGAGACATTCCCTTGGAAAGGATAGTTTCAAACTATGGGGGAAGCTAACAATCCAGCTCACACACACATTATTTGTATACATGCATGCTTTGCTGACTTTCATATTGAGATGTGTAATCAGTTAGTAATTCCTTTCCTGCTTGTTTTCCCTGTTACTGGGGTGATATCCATCACCCATGGGGAACATCTCATCTTTTTGTACTTGTACTGCATTAGTTAAAAATATTAGTCCATGAAAGTGAAATTTTGTAGAAAACCTTTTTCTTGCTACATTATCTACGTCAGATATTTAAATTACAAAAGCGTTGTTTTCTGCTTCATTGAGCCTGTTGCAGGTCAAAACAGTGCACAATGAATCTGTTAGTTGATGATTCAACGGGAGAAAGAAATTATATCAAAACTTGTTGCTATATATGATTCAACGGGTTTTCTTTCCTGAGTATCGGATTTGACAGCTTGGACTCTGAGCTATTAATTTTCTTTGCTCGTAGGCTATACACAATTTCTCACTTTTATCAGAATGCATTATTATAAGTGGGAAAACTTCAATAAAAGTGAATCAGATCCACTCAATTGGATTTTCTTTTCCTTTTCAACTTTTGTTTCCAGAAATCATTAGCTTTCTATTTCTTTTTTTGGATTATGATAGGCCTCCTGTTGTTAAAGTATGATAGGCCCAATTTATATGTTCATGTCTATCTCGTCTTAATATAATTGTATAAATTAATTAAATTAAATCTTTTAGAAACTATAGGTCCGTTTGTTTCACTGAAAACAATTTTCGGAAAATGAATTACATTTCTGAAAAATATTTTTCAGAAAATATTTTACATTGTTTGGATGCTGCATTGTAAAATGTGTTACACTGTTTGGTTAGTTTTTCTGAAAACAATTTACGAAATCTGTTTTTTATAAAAATTTATATATCTATATATTTTTCTTGTTATTTTCCTTTTAAATTTTTTTAAGCTATTTTTATAAAATTGTATTTTATAAAATTTTGAAATTAAATGTTTCATTCCTAAAACGAGTCATGGAATAATAGACAGCCGACACAACATCGATGCAGTATCCCGCTGCAACTGAATCATTCCATACAATACATCTACCTTAGATACTCATCAGTAAGATAAACCAATTAAAATCAAAAAGTTTATAGCTGCTAAACACTCTCTCAAGACACAATGGCATCCCACAAGAGGGCACCATCGTATTCGCCATTAATAAGCAATAGGACTTCGGCTGCCGACATCCTTAAAGCTTACGGGGTGTATGTTTTAGCTTGCCCTTTCAAGAAAATGGTGGATTTTTACGCGAATAAGAAGATAATGGAAGTTGCAGAAACTGCAACCACGCTCTACATCGTTGATTTTGGCATTTGTTATGGTTTTCAATGGCCTTGAAGCGTCTCTCAGCAAGAGCCGGTGGACCTCCCAAACTTCGTATTACTGGCATTGAGTTCCCACAACCAGGATTCCGACCGGATGAAAGGGTTGAAGAGACAGGTCGTCGCTTGAAAAGGTATTGCGAGAGATTCAATGTCCCGTTTGAGTACAACGTGATAGCAAAGAAATGGGAAACCATCCAACTGGAAGAACTAAAGATCAACAAAGACGAAGTCGTCGTTGTAAACTGCTTGTATCGGCTAAAGAACCTCCCCGACGACACACTGTCGTCGAGCAGCGCAAGGGACACTGTCCTAAAACTGATCAGAAGCATCAACCCAGAGTTTTTCATCCATGGGGTTGCAAACGGAACGTATAACGCCCTTCTTTGTCACAAGGTTCAAGGAAGCACTGTTCCATTTCTCAGCTCAGTTCGATATATTCGAAGCTAATGTGTCTCGGGAAGATCCGCAAAGGATGATGTTCGGGAGGGAAATACTGGGGAGGGACATAATGAATGTTGTTGCGTGCGAGGGAATCGAGAGGGTGGAAAGGCCAAAGACGTATAAGCAATGGCAGGCGAGGACGCTGAGGGCAGGGTTCAAACCGATTCCGCTGGATGAGGTGCTTGTGAAGAAAGTGAAGAATCTGGTCCAATCTAATTATAACAGGGACTTCATTTTGGATGTCGATGGGCGGTGGATGCTGCAGGGATGGAAGGGGAGAGCTCTTATTGCCCTTTCATGTTGGAAACCTGCTAGGAATTAAAATGCAATGGAGAGCAATAGGGCAGTAAATTGCAGATTAGTTTACATTTGAAGCTATAATATTAAGGTGACATACGAATATAAAATGATTAAGTATATGTATGTAGTTAAGTCTGAGTCGTATATGTGTAAATACTTGATTGCTAAATTTTATAAATCATGGAATTAGAAATTAGTGTTAATGTACAAAGTTATATAGAGTTATGATCTTCGAATGAGTTTCATAATTTTAACATTTGAGTTGGAAGGCAGTCTCTGTCTCTGTAATATTAGTTTGAATTAGTTAATTAATTAATCAAATATAGATGATTTTATAAATTTAAATACACTCCTGCATTTAATTTATTTTTTAATGATTTAATAAATAAATCTACCGTTTTCGTTTTGTTATTCATAGTGCACTTTCTCTTTCTAGTGCTTTGAAATTGATTTTTTTTAAAGTATTTCAAAATTTGAGTTTTAATCATTTTATTTAAGGATACTTATCAAGCTAGTCAATTATGAGATGAATAATATTCTGTTCGTATTCGTTAAAATTTTTTATTGTTGCACTCAATTTGTTGCTTGTTAAACTTGTTAAAATTTTGCTCGACTTGTGCTCGTTAAAAAGTTTGTTTGCTCGACTCGATTCGTTGATTGTTGAGCTCGTTGTTTGTTTTACCTTATTTTCTTAGCTATAGGTAAAATCTACTAATATTATATAGAACTTAATGTAAATATACATTAAAAAATTTAACCAAAAAATTATTAAGAGAGTGTAGAAAGCAATTTCAAAATTTAAACTCTAAAGTAATAAAGAGACATGGGAGGAGCTTTTAATGGTGATCCTAACCATGAGAAAACCATGAATACCAAAGAATTCAAATCTCGTGATCTACTTACGTGTTTGAGCCATCAATCCTTCCTACATAAAGGAACCCTTCACAGGGGAAAAAAATATAATCTTACTGCAAGAAATGGAGTTGCACAAGAAGTTTGCTTTTCTTATAGTTGCAACGGCCCTGGTTCTTCTAGCCACGGGTCCGCCGTCAGCCTTTTCAACTCGAAGCGAGGTCATCTTGACTTACGATGTCGAAACCGAACCAAATAATGAAGTTAGCAACATCAGGAACCCTTTGGCCATGGTTTTCGAGGCTTACAAGAGTCCCAAAAACTGTATCTCTAAAGGTTCGTGGTGCGGGTGGAACCCAACTGGTTGCTGTAAGCCTTGTGGATGCCTTGTAGGGTTTTGCTATGCACAGGGACCATGCAATTGAGCTCTCCAATGTTAATGTTTTTATTTCATGTATTTAAATAACGTATCTTGTGTTGTGTCCCTCTCTGCTTTAGCTTTAGCAAAATAATGTTGCTAGAGCTGGTGATTGCAAAATAATGAATAAGGATACTTTCGAAAACAAAGAATAGAATAAATGATTCTTCTTTATTGAAGGATGATTAAAGTGAAAGATACAAATCAGAAGCACAATTTGTTAGTGGGAATGTGATATTACAAAATCTGGGTATTTTTTATGCCATTGTTGTGTATATTAAGCCATAACCGATGTCTGAATTGCAAGCTTCTTCCCAGAATATGCAACACCTTCTGCTTTCTTAGTATCTGATTCCCACAGCTTCGGTAGTGCTTCCCTGATGTTGTGTATGCTCTCCAATGCATAGTCTGCTCCATTTGTTCTATGGGAAGTCCCCACCTACATTGTATATCTCCCAAAATATCAAACCCTGTTCTGTAATAATCATGATACTACAAGTGCTTTCTCTGCAATTTGTCAATTAATATCGACTTACCAACACAGTGGGAAGGCCTATTTCTTCTTGCAGATTGTATGTTGCGGATGCCATCGTCAAAGAAGAGCTGCGGTCAACAAGAAAAGAGGTTTAGCCCCTTTACTTTGTCGAAATTTAAGTTTTGATCCCTTTACTTAAGTCCAAATTGATAATTAGATAGACTTACTGTTTTTTGAGGATTGATGTCAGCTATCTTGAAGGCTTCTTGAAATGCATTTTTAAATGGTTTGCAGATAACTTGAGTGTCTGGAAATACTGATGTGTTGGCATCAAGAATTTCAGCACTAGATGTGTCTGAAGTATTGATTCCATTAGTGGGATTAATGGTGTCGAAGCTTATAACCCTTTCAAAGCAATCCTCCAAGCCTGTTAGAGTATTATTCTAGATGTGGTAGTTAGTTAGTTGTAATTGTTGGTTAATTTGTTGTAACTGATTCCTATTCAGTTGGGCCGTTCAGCTGGGCTAATTAGTTAAGCCTTGATTGTTGTATATATAGTGGACCTGTCCACTATTCTAGATCCATGAATGTAATTCTTCTCTAAGGGGTTGTTTGTTTGGCTCTGAATGGAACCATTTAGCGCTGAATGGAACCATTTAGCGCTGAATGTTGAACCGTTCAGAATTCAACGCGTTTGTTTCTCACCTCTGAATGATTCAGTGTTGACTGGTTCAGCAAAATAGTGTTGAATGATTCAGCACAAAAGTACATTCTGAATGATTCAGAGCCATTATCAAACAACATGTCACATTCAGAGCTTATTCATACAAAGCCTCTGAATCATTCAACATTTGAATCATTCAACGCTTAATCATTCTGAAGTAAACAAACAACCCCTAAGTCTTTGTATGTTCAGCTGTTATTGACTTTAGCCAAGCCTTTCGGTTATCTTCAACCTTGATTCTTTCGTTCTCACTTAGTTTACCTTTGTTAGTTTACTGTATCCTAGCTTGTTCAATTCTTGTTATGGTATCATTCGCCTAAGTTCCTGCAGCCTTTTGTCTTCCGTTCTGCTTCATCTTCACTTGACCTAATAGTGAAAATTGATGCAAATTGCCTGGTGATTTTTTTCGGCTTCTTGACAAAGTGGATTTCCGTCTGTGCTTTGTTCTCAGGTTGATTTGTCGCATCTTATCTACCCCGGTTGCTCTTTGATTCTTGATTGATTCGTCGTATTTTCTTCGCTCTTTGGTTGATCTTCTATTCCGGTGAGATCGTTTTTATTTTTTCATTGGATTGACGTTCTGCATTCTGTTCTTTCTCTATTGATTTCTGGTTGAAATCTTGTTATTAGACTTCTGTCTGTATTGTTTTCTATATGGAAAATACTATGGATGATAGTACTCTAAATGCTACTGGTAGTTCTGCTTCTACTGCCTCTAATAGACTATTTTCTACTAAGAAGATTAATGTGACATTAGATGATCACAATTGTCTAATATGCCATCAACAAGTCTTTCTTACTATTAAAACACATAGACTTCAGAAGTATATAGATTCAAACGTTTCTTGGCCTACACAGTATGTAACTTCAGATGGTGTAGTTAGTTTGAACCCTGAGTATGAGCTTTATAAGGAGCAAGATGGAGCTCTTGCTTCGTGGTTGCTCTCTACTGTTAGTGAAGAAGTTTTGCCTCATCTCATAGGACTCAATACTGCAGCTGAGATCTGGAGTATATTGCATAGGTTATACAGTGGTAAAACTACTTCTAGGTTAATGTCCTATAAGAGAATGCTTCATTCTCAGAGGAAGGGAGAGCTGAGTATGAGAGATTACTTGATGAAAATCAAATCTATTTGTGACAATCTAGCTAGCTGTGGAGAGATAATATCAGAACATGAACATATCACTGTTATACTGAATGGATTGCCATCTGAGTTTGAATCAGTTATTACTGTTATAACTGCTACTCCCACTCCTCCATATTTAAGATATGTTAGCACTATATTACTGGATTCTGACACTAGAAAATCACATTCTTTTAATCATGTCACATCTTGTGCTCATGTCACTACTCAAGTTACAAATGATCAAATGGTCTCTAATAATGTTTCACAGTCTGAATATCAAAATAAGGGTGAATTTGTTGATAATACTGGTTAAAACATCAATAATAGTAACAATAGTAATAGAGGTAGAGGCCGAGGGCGTTTTTCATCCTTTAGACCATAATGTCAATTGTGTGGCAGAATGAGACATCTTGTTGAAAGATGTTATTATAGGTTTGATATGAGTTACAAGAATGAATTATCTTGCCCTACACAAAATAGTAATAATAGAGTCTATTCCAATGTTCAAGCCAATATCAGCTCTTATAATTCAAGCAATGACAACTTCACCCCTTATAATTCCCCTTATAACTCAATGTATTATGCTCCTTCACCTTTGATAACAACCCCTGAAGTTTTTACTTTTCATCCACATGTTTTTCCTTTTAATGTTCATCATCAAGTCTACTCAAATCCTCACAATATGCCCTCATTTCCTTTTGGAAATTCATCTCAGTCCACTACTGCTACTCAACCACATGTCACATCTCAAGCTTATATAGCTACACTTAAGACAGTGGATGACAATGCATGGTATCCATATTCTGGAGCAACACATCATATAACTAAAAATTTTAGCAACTTACAGGTTAAAGACACTCACCCTGGAACATATAGTGTGATTGTTGGTAATGGTAATTCTCTACCAATACAGAGCATTAGTCAATCTTATTTTTGTGCTAATTCCAATAGGTTTCATTTAAATAAGTTATTGTATGTTCCTAATATCACTAAAAATCTGTTATATGTTTCCAAATTCACTTAGAACAATCAAGTTTTGCTTGAATTTTATCCTAATTTTTGTCAAGTTCGTGACCTGCATACCTGAAAAGTTCTATTAAAAGGGAGTGAAGCTGGAGGTCTGTACAAACTCAATATTTCCATGAATAATTATGTTAATAATGACAGTTGCTTGACTACTGGTGATGGGGTTCATGTTAATAATTCTGCTCGTAATTCTTTGTCTTCAATAAGCTGCCACATTGTAAATGCTAGAGTGTCTATAGACATGTGGCATAAAAGGCTTGGCCATCCTTTTAAAGAAGTTTTACTTTCTGCACTAAAACATTACAATTTAATTCCTTTTGATATAAATAAAGAACAAATTGTTGGGATTTTTTGGAAGCTCGATTCGATAACCGGAATGGTTTGCAAAGAGGGGTCGGAACGATTTTTGAGTTTAGTGAGTAAGGAGATTAAAAGATAGAAAATTGCA